CATGGGATATTTGGCACAACCTTATGTGAGCAAACTATTTATTGTTTCTCTAAAATTCAACATTCAAACATTCTGTGTTTATATTTGCTAAATTGAACCACTCTACCATACAGTTCCTAGAATGGGATCCATTAAAAATTGTTTTGAAATAGGAGTGAGGGGGAATAAGAAAGAGTAATGGAATGAATTTGATCAAAGTACATTATATGCTGTATGGATGGAAATAAGACAATGTAACCCTTTCATATAATTAATGTATACTAATTAAACAGGAAAAGTTTGTGGCCAAGAACAGTTTGTTTCGGTTCTGGATTGTTCCACAGAATAGTGGTTCTCACTCTATTTTTTCTGTGTTACATTTTCCATTACTCTAGTGTATTTTTATTGTGGTAACAACAGCTAGTGTGAGATGTGGTCTTCTTAAACATTAAGCACACCGTAGAGTATTGTTAGCCTCAGGTGCAATGTTATGCAGGAGATGTCCAGAACTGTTACTCTTGCATCAGTGAAACTTTATATCCCTTGAATGAAATTCCCCCATCTTCCACCACCCCTGGCAGCTATCATTTGGCTTTCTGATCCTATGAGTTTGGTTATATAAAATACATCTCTTAAGGAATCCTGCAGGATTAGTCCCTCTATGTTTGACTTCTTCCACTTAGCAGGATGGTTACACAAGGTTCTCTTGTTACGGAAGAACAGTTTTCCATGGTATGATTATCCCACAAAGGAAGAAGAGCTTTGCATAACGTAAATAGCCCCTGAGTTCTGATCTAGTGGATCAGGAGTGAGACTCAAGAAAGTGTATTTCAGATTAGTTCCTACGAGATAACCAGTGCAGTCATTCATGGACAGCATTTTGAGAAGCATGCATGGAACATGAACCCAAAATACCTAGGACAGGAGCAAAACCAAGATGCTCAGGAAGGCCCGCCTCTGTGGCTGAGTGGTTCCAATGAACATAGAAGAAGGTAGACCAGTTACCAGAAAGCATGCAGTCAACAAGGCAGAATACACAGGTAGACAAAGTGACTTGGGCAGCTGATGTTCACCAGCCTCTGTCATTGGCTTCCATGAATGGCATGGCTTTGAAAGGAGAGATGGTAATTACACACGGGCCCAACAGCGTGGACCCTAGCTATTGCTAGGTCTGACCTTCCAGCAGCAACACATGCACACAGTGAGCCTACAATATAGCATTCTCTTAAGGAGACCGTATTGCCACTTGGTCAAGAGATGTTGAGTCTTCTGATGTTGAAGTTGGTGATTCATCCTCCTCAGAGCAGAAAGCTATTCCTGTGAGAGTTTGCATTTGCTGCCCACAGATCCTCCATCTGCACCTCCTCAGTGGCGTATGGAATGCCCCGTCCCCAGATGGGGTCCCCTGTAGTGTAATGTCCAGTGATGGACCCTCTCTCTCCTCCACACACTCCGCCAGTACCCAGGTCCCCAGGAAATCAACAACGCATTTGTTCAGCCTTTCTCTTACTCCTCCCCTCTGTGATAATGGTAGTGAGACCTCTGATGGCCAAATCATTCCTTCCCTGCTTTTCTTCTTCCAATATGCCTAAATATTTAAAGAGGATTTTTTTAATTATAAAAGGAAATGGGCTTGTTGAAAAGGACTGGGAAATATCCAAATGCACAGGAGGACATCACACAAGCATATGTGTTGCTTGTTTACATAAAATATATAAACAAATATTTATATGTTTATATATCTGTAGAGCAAAGGAAAAATGGGACCAACTACCTGAGGCTGTCACCATTGCTTTCAATTTGGGCTGGAACTGGAAGAATGTTTTAATGGTCAGCTATTGGCTGGAAGCAGCCCCTAGAGCACATGACCTCATTTCTCAGCTTCTACAAGCAAATGCAGTCTGAAAATACTAAGTGGAGGATTCCAAAAATTAACTAACTTCTTACAGTATGTTGTTGTGATTGTTGTTCTTGCCAATTTCTTATTGTTCCTAGTTTACAAACGAAACATTATCCTAGATGACATGGATAGGAAAACCATTGGCCCTGCAAGGCTCAGTTCCATTTGTGGTTTGGAGCATCCTCTAAGGCTTGTGAAATAGGATACAAGGGATTGTAACATAGCAGGTAGCAGGCCTTCGATGAGACACATGTTGTAAACATAGGCAGAAAGAGGAAATGTTTGTAGACAAAAAAACAAAAATGTCACCCCATTTGTAGATTTTTTTTAAAAAAAAAGTAAAGCCAAGAGCCTATGGGTCAGGCCTGTAATCCTAGCTACTTAGGAGGATGAGATCTGAAGATTTCAGTTCAAAGTCAGCCTAGGTAGAAAACTCAAACTCATATCTCCAATTAATCACACACACACACATACACACACACACACACACACACACACACACAGAGCTGGGAGTGGTGCTGTGGCTCAAGTGGTACTAGCCTGGAGCCAAAAAGCTCAGGGACAGTGCATGAGTTTCAGCCCCAGGACTGGCACAAAAATAAACACATATACATACATATATACATACATACGTACATGCATACATACATGCATGCATGCATGCGCTTCCTTCCATGAAGCCATGGAACAGCAACCACATCAGAATTGCTTGTTCAGGAGGTAACAGAGAACTCAGCCTGCACCAGGTTCATAGGAGGAGAATCTTCCAGCTCAATATGAAACTAACTTTGACCCCATTTTACAGTTAAAAAGAAAGAAAGAAAGAAAAAACACACCCAGAAGTCCCAATCCTTTAAAATCCTATCTTTAAATAAAACAGTATTCTAGTCTCTCCCATGTCTGACTCATCCTTTCCCCAGCTCCCAAATATATCTTCCTAAAATATTTCTCTGCACACATTTTCTCCTGAATAACCTGTTCACGGGACCTGAGGCCCCATCTAGCTCTCCAGACTCTTCTACTACCCCTCTGTACAACCATCTGTTCCCCATCTCTTTCCACGAGCTGGGTCACGTGTTTCCTCTCTCCGCCTATGCTTACCGCATGTCTCTCGCTGCAGGCCTGCTTACCCAGTGTCGGCCAATAGACATGTTATGTTTGGCTCACATTGAGTCTTGATTTTTTTTTTACATCATTGTCAACATTTTTTTTAAAAAATCATAAATTTCACAACAAAACTTGGTCATCTTCTTGCTTTTTCTGCACCGTGGGAGGCTCTGGCTCCTTTCGGTGTTCAGCCCTCTGGCTATGGGTTGTGGGCTCCCTGCCTGACCCGTGGAGGCCGGGCCCTAGTAGACCCTGGCTTTCACTGTCTCCTTGTCCATTGTAAGAATACCAGAAGCGCACAGTAGACTCGAGACCCAGAGGAGGCAGACCTGCAATACCGAAGTCTACGCCCTGGAGGAAGGAAGTAGCCCTAGGGAAGCACTGGGACCTGGGATCAGAGTAGATGTACTGGAGAGGCTTCAACTGTTTCCCCCTGAATCGCACAGCCTAGCTGAGAACCTCCACCCAGTTCACGGAAGCCGGTGTCCTGTTGTCCTGAGGCTGTCGAGAGTCCTTGGCGCTCACGTCTCATATGGTGAGACCCCATGCTGGGTCTGCTGCTGCCAGGCCTCTGCCTGGGTGCTAACCTAACCTCCAGTCAGGTCTCAGGACTGAGCCACAGAGCACAGTCCTTGCTATGAGACCGGTACGGATCATAGGGTGTTTTGGCTGTTGTTGATTTGGGCAGTGGTGAGGTTTGAACTCAGGAGCTCACACTTCACAGGCACACCACTGAGTCACAACTCCAGCCCATTGCTTTAGTTATTTTTCAGATAGGGACTAGACTTGGATTGCAGTCCTACCTGTGCTTCCGGTGTCACTGGGATTATAGATGTGCCCCATCATACCCACCTTGTTGTAATGGAAGCTCACTAGCTTTTTGTCCAGGCAAGAACTGTAATCCTCTTGATTTCCAACTCCCCTGAGGCTAGGGTTGCAAGGTGTGTGCGGCCACCGCAATCCCAACTCATTGTACTTCTAAAGATGGTTACAACAATAGCCTTTGTCCGGATTACTCTTCTCCAAAGCAGTGTTAAACCTAGTAACGTATGAAATCGAATTCGCATTCCTTTAGATCCTGGCCGGAGTTTTACTGGGTCTGACTGACAATACACAGCAGAAGGGCTGCTCTGCGCATCCCTTCCCATCCCTGGGCATGAACGCTGGCATCTCCCTTGCTCAGGGAGACTTCCCACCGTGTGCCTGAACTAGCACATCAGAACACTGCACCCAGAGACCACCAGCTGCCACACACAAGGTCACAGGAGGAGCAAGGACAGCGGTCGTTTGAGTAAGATAACTTCATGCTGATAGCGAGCGTGCACTTTTCCCATTCTCTGTGACTCTGGGCGATAGAAGAGCAAGGAGGCAGATTCTCCTTTCCAGTTTCTGGTCTCCAAAAGACTCCGCTCAACACCTGAAATTAGTGAGTCGTAGTCCGAAATTGTTTATTGTCTTTTTAGATAATAGATTTGAAAAGTGTGTGCGTGCGCATGTGTGTGCGTGTGTGTATATGTGTGCCATGAATCTGTTACCTGGTGACAACACCAGTGGAAATATGGAGAGATGGAGTTTGGAGAGGGCAGTGGGAAGAGAAATTAAGGAACATTAATACTTCCAAATTAGGAATTCATGCAAGAATGTGTTATTTGTAGGCTAACGGTCCATGTGCATTTTGTTATCATCACATACAAATAAGCTGCTTAAAACTCATTTTCAGAAGACTCCACTGAATTTGTTGAAATTATCAGTTTCTTAATGAGGGGAAGATTTACCATGTAATGTTTATAACTCATGAAAATATTTATACAAGAAATTTGTATTTACGTATAACTACATGGATAGTGTGTGTGTGCAAATACACATTTATTCATCTTTCAAGTGACTTGAACACAAAAGGTCCAGAAAAAGAAAAGCCAGCACTCATTAGAAGCTCCAAAGTTACTAATTTTTCAGCTTTCTTCTCTTCGTGTGTATTTGTATGTCTTTCTCTTTCTTTCCCTCTTTCCCTCTCTCTCTTTTTCTTCTCTCTTTCACCATCTGCATACATGACTTACATTCTCTAGGCTGCCTCATGATTGCAAGATGACCATCAGAGCACCAACCATGACATCTGTGTTCAGGGCAAAGAAGAAAGAATGGATTCAAAGGAGCACATTTCAGATGACTCATTCATCCTTCCTTTAAAGAGCATTTTAAATTCGCATTGGCAATAATCTAACCACATAACCACCTCTGTTCACAAGGGAGACTAGGAAATGTAAATTTTCATCCGGGCACATTGCCACCTCCAACAAAACTAGGGTTCTCTTAGTAAGGAATAAAGAGAGAAATTGATTTTGGGTAAACAACTAGTAGTCTGTACACAGGCTTTGGTGACAACAAATGGGAAAGCAGAGAACCTCACCGCCACATCTTTAATGATAAACATGATGCCATAATGAACAGCTCTTAAACATCCCAGGTAATATAAATAGCCATACTGTAAACATTGTATAACGGTTCAAAACTGACCTCATAAAAGCACACGGGAGAGGGGAAAGCAGCAATAAAAATTAAAAAACTTTAAAAAAACAACTAATTTCATTATGAAATAGCTTATAAGACATCAACTCAATAAGCTTCCTTTATAAACACAGATCCTCACTTCACACGAGGTCTACAACCTACCTCTGTTTGGAAACTGGACGTGTGATTTATATCTTTGGGCATCTTTTTTTCTGGTTAGATACTGCAGAGGTTTTCCAACAGAGTTGATGCCCTACAAAAGATGAAGGACGATGGGTTTAGGTGTTGATGTTTATTTGGAAGATGTCAGGCAACAAACATAACAGCTGAAGGATAACTCGGGGCCTGGGGGTCATACAGATGTTCTCAGGCCAATAGAGTGGAGAACTGTTGGCCCCAGCTGGAGTCTACGGCTGGTGAAGGCACACATTCACTAGCAAAAGAGAAGATGGAAGACTGGGCCTTTGAGGGAGGGAAGAGGCCGAGTTAGCAGTCACGCACTGAGCCAGGAAACATTCTGGAGAAAGCAAAGGTCTAGATGGGACAGTGTTTCACTTTGAGTCTGAGACGTAAGAAAAGGCCAAGATAGACCATCTGTCTGGACATATCTACTAACACAAATCCTTGGCAGATTGCACGTGAGCTGTGCATCAAGGTCCTAATGCTGGTGCTAATGGGACCAGCTAATGTGTTACTCCACCAACAGGGGGGCAGCCGGCTCTCATCCATCAGCAGAGGTTTAAGAGGACTTAGGGAGACTTGAGGCATGAGGCAGGGGAAATCTGATTGTTTTGTCAAAAGGGTCCCAAAGAAATAGAAAATGTGCTGTAGTTGCTCATCGTTATCTGGCTTGGTAGATAGCTAGGGTATTACTTGCCCCCTGGAGGGGAGGGGGTGTCATTTCAGGGCTCCCCGGAGAGGTGCAGCCTGACTTCTGTCCCCTCTGCTTCTTGCAGACAGGGAGCCTTCTGTTTGGTCCCGAGCTCTTCACTGGACTCTGTACCATCAGTGGGGGTACGCAAAGAAGATATCACAATATTTTTAATTTTATCTTAAGAATGAGTTGGAATATACTCTATGTGTGTCCACTATATGGATTGACAGTCTTGTCACTGTGTAGAGATTGGAGGCTGATGGTGATCTTCACTTACTATAGGGGACATTGTTCCAGGAGAAGCCGGCCTTGTCATCTGGGAAAGGGACACTCTTATCCTCTCCAGGGACATGTGAACACTTATTTGTGCCCTGTTAAGTGGGTTTATGTAGTGTACGGTGTTTAATCTCTGTGAAGTGATACGCACAAAATATGCACGGCCTTGAAAGCTTGTAGAAAATGGCCAGGTACAATGGCTAATGCCTGTCATCTCTTCTTAGGAGTCAGAGATCACCAGGAAAATCAAAGTTCAAGGTCAATCTGGGTAAAAAAAAAAAAAAGTTAAGCTTTCATCTCAATTAGTAAGTTTACTGTGGTAACACATGCCTGTTTTGGAAACTCCTCAGGGGTAAAAATAAGAGGATCATAGTCCAAGCTCACCCCAGCAAAAATACAAGACACTATCAGAAATAACAAGAGCCCAAAAGGGTTGGAGCCTGGCTTAAGTGACAGACAATGGAAGGCCCTGAGTTCAAACTCCAATGCTGCAGAAAAAAATATAGAAAAGTAACAGCAACTCATGATGAAAGATCTGATTCAGGTAACAAAACCAAACAAAGCAGAAAAGCTGGTAGGTGAGTACCTAGACCAAGATTGGTTGACATTACACATAACAGAGCTAGAGGATCAACTTAGAAGTTGCTCTCACCAAAAACGGAGCCATTCTGAGGACGCCAGCCGCCATGCAGAAAGACCCCACCACAGGGCACCCACACACTCACTTTGTGTCCCTGAAGCATCTTTTCAACCGTAACAGCTACTAAAGCCAATGAGGAAACCAACTAAACTGAGAAACCTTGGAATTGCTGTTCTCACAAATGGGAGACGACCATTTTCAAAAGTAGGGAACCGTGGTCAACTGTACTGCACGGGTTAAAATAGCATTTTAAAAAAATGAATGCCAGGAATAAGAATGAATGACTCATTAGTGTACTGCCACTTTAATTCATCTCACGTATTGGTTGTGTATGTTTGTGATCTGCCTGGATAAAGGGTACTGGTCAGCTTTTGTCACTGGCAGAATATCTGCGGTAAACCATGTGAAGAAGGAAAGGTCTGCTGTGGCTCTCAGGTTCAGAGCTTCCTCGCTCCCTTGTTGTGTCAGGAAGTCCGTGGAAGAACAAAGCTGCTCACTCACGGCAGGTGGAAAACAAAAGGGAGAGAAGAGCAAGCACCATATGATCTTCAAAGCGCAGACACCCAGAGACCTAACTTCCTTCTGCTACAAACAACACCTAAAGGTTTCACCACCTCCTTACCGCACCACCAGTGGAAACCAAGCCTTCAACACCTGGGCTTTGGGACATTAAGATCCACACCTGTGTCAGACATGCTTCTAATGCAGCATGCTTCTAATCCTAGGATTTGGGAAGCAGAGGCAGGAGGATCTTGAGTTTGAGGCCAGCCTGGGTTATAAAACAAGCTCAAGGCCAACCCCAGATACACAAGGAGACCCTATCTAAGAAACATACAGACAAGACTGGGTATTTAGCTCAGGTAGAGCTCAGTGGTGGAACACCTACCATTCTATCACGTTTGCTAATAGCACTCAGCACTTCCTCCTGCATGGTTGTTCCTGGGCATACGGATGGCCCGCTCTGTTGATGGAGCTGGCTGGGAGCAGGAGCAGGTTGATCAACTGTCTGCTCAAAGACTTGTCATGTACAGCACCTAGCCATCTAGGAGGTGCCCACCAACATTTCATTTAGAAGTTAAGAGGAAATGAGGATGCATCTAAAATTCCTTAGCACAGATGACCACAATCTCAGTGGGAAATCCCAGAGTTGAGCAGATCCTTGGGAAACCCCTGAGCAGTGTCTAACCCACAGGGTGTGAACTCTGAATAAGAGATGATTCTTCCCATCTAGTGACTTTGAAGGCCACTGTTTACTTACAAGGATGCTTGCTTGTACACAGAAACGCCATGCTGATCCAGCCAGCCGCCCAACTCATTCTCATGTTGAACAATTGTTTCAGGCTTTCAGCTTGATTCTTGCACATATGTTCATGAAATCCAAAGAGATTATGTATGCAAACACAATTTATATTACAAATGTATCATAAAATCCATATGATTATTGCATATGTAATGAAGTATTACATAACATGCGTATAATATGTATATCTATAAACTCAACTGGTGTGGGCAGGGGGCAGGATTCCCGTGATGCAACGCCTTTGAACAACTAACTTACAGTGTGCCAAAATGAATACCAGGAAGCTGGAATATGTCTTGGGGGCCGAGAGTGAGGCCAAGGGGAGAGAGGCAGATGAATAGAGAGAGGAAGGCTGGTGAATACAATCATAACATTGAATGTATATATGTGAGAGTGAGCCCAGGTAACTGGAGCCCATGGGAAAGGTGAGTTGGGAGCATTGGGATGAAAGGGCTAATATTGATCACCATGGACTGTACTCACACACTGACAGGTTGAACTGGAACCCTTCCATACAACTGCTTAAAGATCATGAAGATAAATAACCCACAGGCATTATATATAAATATGCAATTTATACTAAAAACATATTGTCTGTATTATTATTTGGATATATAATAAATACTATGTAATATGGTATGGAAATTTTATATGATTATATGCATGCATAATATAAATTAGCTGAATGTGAATCAGAGATCTAGATTTTCCAATAATCTTTTTTTTTTTTTTTTGGTCAGTCGTGGGGCTTGAACTCTGGGCCTCGGCGCTGTCCCTCAGCTCTTCAGCTCAAGGCGAGCGCTCTACCACTTGAGCTACAGCGCCACTTCCGGTTTTCTGGTGGTTTATTGGAGATAGGAGTCTCACGGTCTCTCCTGCCCGGGCTGGCTTTGAACCGCGATCCTCAGATCTCAGCCTCCTGAGTAGCTAGGATTACAGGCGTGAGCCACCAGCGCCCGGCATCCAATAATCTTTAATAGCAACTAACCTCACTATTAAAAATAATCCCAGTAACTCAACCATCTATAAACTATGCAGTATGTTCTAATGGGCTTCTTGGGAGTTGGAACTAACTGGATTTACACCTCTGTGTTCACCTGAAGATATTTATTTGATATTTATTGATATAATTTTATTGCAATCATATACTATATATATATCCCTCCCCCTCTCTCATGAAAAGGTACATTATAACTGTACTTCTTCTAACGGGTACATAGTTTCCTTTGGTTTGTCAACAGTTTTCCGTCTCAGAAACCTATAGCCACTAAAAATTAAATATTTGCCTTTGCCAGAAAGTAATCATTTGAGGTAAGTTCTGCCTCGTAAATGGTGAAAAATAAGTGGAGGTGGGTCTCAGTAAAGAGACATTTTCTTTTCTATTTCTTCACCAATGTATTCATGCCTGGTAATGACATACCTACTTATTTTTTTACTTTCTAAAATCATAACATGGAAAGAAATTGAGCTGTCCTCCTAGGAATATAGCCTAGTTGCCTTCCAGATACAGACTGCAAGCTTCAAGTGGAAAGAAGAAATGGCTGGCTTTATTTCTTCCTCAGCATCACACATGGAGAGCCCCCCCAGTCCCCTCCCCCCGACCACTTGCACATTTACATAAAGTCACATGACTGACATGAGCTATCTGTGGGAGTGAGATGGGAAGTCCTGCTGGATGTAGCATCCTTTGGCTGCATACCTGATTATCTATGGAAGTTTCCCCTAGATTCAATATTACTAGATCAACAGCTTAGAACGTTTTTAAGGCTCTAGATAATATTATACTTGGCTGCTTTTTAGAAAAATGGTAGCCATTTGAATTGTGCAGTGTCACAAATCAAGGTCCCATCGCTCAAAACAAATGAGTGTGCCCATTAACAATAAAAACCTCCACCAATGAGATCTAAATGCTATTTCTCATAACTTACCATTCTGAAATGACCAGGTAAATCAACCTTTTTTTAAAGGTAATTTTATCTTTCTTTGTAGAGTTATCTATGTGTACTAATATTTTTTTCAACATTATAGTCATGATACGTATCAGCCCAGAACAACAGGAAGGAGACAGGCTGGAGAAGGGGATGGAGCTGAGAGCCACACTAGCTCTTTGTCCTGCCATTAACAAGGTCTGACCTGGGCAAGTTTCCCTCCTCTGTAAACAGA